CAATGCCCGGCGCATACTTGACTGACTCTACTGGATTTCAATAGGTTTTTCATTTGCCCCACGAGACCACACGACGCTTGCAGACCACAGCACGAACAATTCACCAGCCACACTCCACGAAAACGTTCGTGGAGTGTGGCTGGTGAATTGTTCGTGCTGTGGTCTGCAAGCATCGTGTGGTCTCGTCGGGCCAAATGAAAAACCTATTACTACTATTTGACGGACATATGGAATATGACAACAAAGAATTCTACTGGATTTCATTGAGCGGAACTGTAAATAAGGTCCCAAGAGTGTGCAACTCTAGAGATCCTTTCCACGCGGGGGTTCCCCCAACAGCAAAAGCTCACATCACGTGGTGCAGTGTTCACGTTGTACAGTATACGTCGTACCCAGGTGATTTTTTTATTGAGCAGTGGAGTAATACAATATCACTCTCTGACAGAAATACACCCAGTTTACGGGGCTAATCAGCGTGATTATTGCAGATATTCGGATTTCACGCACGTCTTTGTTGTATACGTTGTAAGAAACTCGCCTGGCAACACGTGATGTGAGCTCTCACCGGCAGACACCCATACATGCAGAGTTGGGTGGATAGATTAGTACATTTTACTCTTTCTATCACCATAGGCATAAAATGAATATCGACCAACTAACGCTGCAATCTCTTCATCTTTGTAGCTGTCAATTTGCATGCCAGTACGGCAAGCATGACCGCAATGGATGGGTTTTCTGGCCATGCATGATGTGACTGAAATGGAAACGCAGTGCTACTTTTCCCTCGAGCTTCGGATTCTTTTGGGCCCCGGATTGTTTTGGCCCCAGAATACAGATTGGTTTAGCCCCGGATTGTTTTGCCCCCCCCCCTCCCTTCTGGCTTATTTTGGCCCGGATTGCTTTGGCCCCGGATTGCTTTGGCCCCAGATTGTTTGCCCCCGCCTTTCCGGCTTGTTTTGGCCCCGGATTGTTTTGGCCCCAGATTGGTCTAGCCCCGGATTGTTTTGCCCCCCCCCCCTTTCCGGCTTGTTTTGGCCCCGGATTGTTTTGGCCCCAGATTGGTTTAGCCCCGGATTGTTTTGCCCCCCCCCCCCTTTCCGGCTTGTTTTGGCCCCGGATTGCTTTGGCGCCAGATTGGTATAGCCCCGGATTGTTTTGCCCCCCCCCCCCTTTCTGGCTTGTTTTGGCCCCAGATTGGTTTAGACCCCGGATTGTTTTGCCCCCCCCCCCCTTTCCGGCTTGTTTTGGCCCCGGATTGCTTTGGCCCCAGATTGGTTTAGCCCCGGATTGTTTTGCCCCCCCCCCCCCCTTCCGGCTTGTTTTGGCCCGGATTAATTTGGCCCCAGATTGGTTTAGCCACGGCTATAGGTGTGACTTCTTCTGTGCACGTGACAGCAATGCAGGGGCGTCGGAAGGTATTTTAATGTGGTACGGTCAGCCATCTGAAGTACAATTTACTCGTGGGGGAGGGATGGCTGAGGCGAAAATTTTGGGAAATTAGAGCCCAACTCAGTGCATTTTATTCATTCACAGGGTACTTGGAGCAAATAGTGGTACGGTCAATACCGTAGTGACCGTACCGTGTCCGACGCCCCTGGCAAAGGGTGCGTGGTCGGCAGGGCCCAGCCCAGCCCAGTCACTACCTGTGCATACGTCGCCAGCTAGTGTGAAAGAACTCCAAGAAACCACCCAGGCATGCATGGGTCCTTACAGTATTACACCTTACACAATCCGGATCTGAGCTAGTCCAAAGTCAGCAGCATTGCCATTACTCCCACCTGGCTTTGACGTGGCACTTCCAAGCCCTGTAGCCTGTATCTGTACTACTGTAAGACATGTTATTATAACGAGTCGCAAATGTAACGATCGTCCGAAATTCATAGGCTAACGAGAACGTACGATAACGATCTTGCAGTCTTCAGGCATATCCGCACATATCACATGATGTGGCCTTGCAGTCTCAACAGAACTTATTATATCGAAGAAATGCAACTCGTTTTAAAAAAAAGGTTAGATTTGCTTCCTGGTTATAATTTACATGTCTTACAGTAGGCTGTAGTCTGTACATGCACTAGGCTGTAGTCTGTACCTGTACTAGGCTGTAGACTGTACATGTACCTGTACTAGGCTGTAGTCTGTACAAGTAGCTTTGCTGCTGTATACGGAAAGTCCCTGCTTGCAATTTGGACTAAAGGGAAAACCCCTACTGTCAGTATTTGCTGCATACTGTCACAGTAGTTCCTTCTGACAGGGTGTGCTTAACGTCTGCCATGCTGTCATGTATCCTGCATACGTTTGGTCGTTACCTTCTAAAAAGGAAGCCCTTGACAATTTTAATGGTATGTCCGTGTGTTCCGTGTCCTGCAGACCCCTGTTCGTTTCCCAACTCCCTGCGGTTCCGCGACGCTCCGGGCTATTGCTACTCGCAGCCGACTAACGCCGCCATGTCGTACGCGGACGCCGATGCAGAGTGCCGAGGGCGCGGCATGGAAGTGCTGTACTTCAGCGGTGCGGCCGAGTTTGATCTGTTCCGCAACAGCGGCCGTCTGACGGCGGATGCGTTTCGAACGCCAGGGCGCACCTTCTGGACGTCACTGCGAAAGGACGCCGTCCTGTCTGTTACCAGTTTGACATGGCTGACCGACGGCGGGGATGCACTCAACACAAGCTGGCTAAGCGTGCCCGACGTGGGCAACACAATCCTTGCTGCAGAACCGTCGCCATTCCGAATGCCTTTCATGGATGGACTGTGCGTGGAGATTGTGCTCACTTCGGAGTCGGGGATGGCCCTGGCTGGCCTGAATGATCTGCCATGTACCGAATCACGCGGCGTCCTCTGCAAAAGTGGTACGGATAGTTAGCAAACGGGGGTTTAGAAAATGACACCCAGCAAAAATAATCTTATTTCTATTTATTGCAACGCATCAAAGTCCAGTGGGAACACCGGTGAAGAAAGTGGGTGTTGGCCAGCCATGGCAGATAAGTAGGAGTTGTGAAGGAAATAAGAAAATTAGAAATAGGGATGTCCGGTAAGTGTATGAAGTCAGCAACACAGTCAGCAACACAGTCAGCAACACAGTCAGCAACACAGTCAGCCCAAACAGCACTTGTTACTCTGAGCTCCGCGCAGGAGATGGCGTGCCGAACACAACTCAGGTTAGCACTGAGGAACGAGCCATATGCACTGGGTTTTAGTACTGTCCTCTCGCCAGAGGTGGATTCAAGAAAGAAGAAGAATAGAACAAGACAGTGGTGGCGACTTCGGCGATGATTACGTAGGGAAGGTGCTTGCTGCACATACTAGATCTCGTGCAAGTGTCCAGTCAAGTCGGCGGAAAAGCGAGAGCTCCGGTATGGGGAGCAAACACATTTTTCCTTATAGGCCTTTCACACGACGGGAGAATGTCACGGACTCTCGGCCTCGCGACATGATCACCAGGGTGATCATCGATTTATTTGAGATCTGAGCCGTAGGCCCGTATCCCGCGAGATTGTAGCCCGCAGCACCCTGACCCCTGGTTGTGCGTTTTCGTTTTCGGTTTCGCGTTTCATGAGCTGGCTTGTATGCGCTGTGTCGACAATTCATGAGCTGGCTTGTACAAGCATGTACTTTGTTGTATGCGCTGTGTCTGCAGAGCTAGTCGGCGTGTGAAGTGTCTTGCCGCGTATCGTAGAACCATAGCATCGTGCAATCGTGAGCACGAAACGTCATTGTGATAGGGCTACAAGTAGAAGAAAGAAAGAGCAACAAAAATCCAGATGATTGCGCGTGGGCAGTGTCGGTACCACCGATCACCGGAGTGTTTGAGATTGGGGACCGCAACAACAGATCAATCATGCTTCCATAACGTAATCAAGTAGCGTGCTTCGCTGTCTGAAGAGTGCTCAATACGTGTATAGTGCAGAGCCTTGTACACAAGAGAGATTGGAAGCTGCGTCGCGACTCATAGCTGCATATAGTACTAGGATCATCAGGCAAAATTCACTCATTTTTCATTCATTTTATTTTGAACTCGGATATTGAGCCATTGTAATTATGCGTAAATAAAGGAAAGACGAAGATGTTAGGAGTTACGAGCTACTGTTCACCAAACATCACTAGATCATATTATGCAGTCACCAAGTGTGACGATAAGGCACGGAACTGACAAAGAGTACCGAGACATTCAGAGCGACCTGACACCTATATTATATTGATGTCCCAAGGGCAAACACATGCATATGCTTTATCGCGGAGATCTCAAGGTTGAAAATACTTGTTTGTAATAATGGAAATGTTGGAGGATAGTTCTAAATAAATGGAGACACATCCTATGTGTCTAATGTGTTGTTGAATTTGGGAGTAAAATGAGACTACTCTACCGAATATCCGTACATCTTCACTCTCCAAACGGTCTCTGGGCTACACCAATCACTAAAAGAAAAAGAGATGTTTACTCTACCGAAGACCGCTTTTCGACCTAAGAAGAGAGAGGCATGGGTAAACATTGCCTGTATGTAGAGATGTGAAGCAGGGCCTGTTGTACGGATAGCTCGTCGAAGTGAAAGTCTGTCATGTGAGCAGCAATGATGGATCCGTGTGTGTGTGTGGGGGGGGGGGGGGGGGGGGGCGCTCGCGTGTGTGCGTGTGTGTGTGTGTGTGTCTCTCTCTCTTTCTATCTCTTTGTCTATCTGTCAATCCATCAGATGCTATCTACCTACAGGTATCTGTCTACCTCTCTATCTCTCCATCTGTCCATCGATCTGTCTATCCATATATCCATCTATCTATCTACAAATCTATATTATTTTCTCTGTACCTTTCGATCTCTCGCACACTGGCACACACACACACACACGAATACACACACGCACACACAAATACACACACATACACACGCACACACACACACACACACACACACACACACACACACACACACACACACGAACACACACACGCGCACACACACGCAAATAAACTGCATTTTTCTCGTCCGTCTTTCTCGCATTTTGTTCAGACGTGGATGAGTGCAACATCACAGCCAACACGTTTCCGTGCCCCGACAAGGATGGAGAGATATGTGTCAACACTCCGGGAAGCTTCTTCTGCAAACGTAAGTATATTATCAGCTACGTAGGTTTTCCATAGCTCGCTGGATTGATATCTGTTCGCTACAACCAACCTTCCGTTTTCTTTTCTTTCTTTTTCCCATCTCTACTTTTCCACAGTGTCCTTTAAAATTGTATTCACAGTGGGTCCAATGTTATTAGGAGTTCTGCCTGTTTTGATTTCCACTATAAATAAAGTATACAACGACAAGTACCGTTGGAGTGAATCTTGATGGTCTGCTCTACGTTACGGGAACGCGTTGCGGAGATTCCCGGGAACACTCTTCGCGTTCCCGTAACGTAAAGGAAACCTGTTCTGCTCTACGTCCACGTAGAGAAATCACGTGGAATGTGTACTGGGAATTTTCCCTTCTGAATTTGGCAGTTTGCTGCCTGATTTGTGTGATGTCCAGCAGATCCGTATGCATGTTCTTCGCGTGTGCCACAACGTGGAGAACCTCATCTCCGTGCAGAGAATCTGGACCACACGCAGCCGTGAACTCTAACCCAGACACCTGTTCTGTACCTGGTTTTGCCGCGTTTCCCCGTATGGCAAAACCTCGCTATTATCTCACTCTTGCCTGCCTCAAAACGACCCTCGCTGCTCTGTCGTTTGATCATTATTTGAATGAAAATCACGAAACCATACGAGGATCACCATGGTTACGTTGTACATACTTGCACATGTGCAGGTCGATGCGATGTTCGTCTCTCGCATATACTTCAGTAAGACTGTGTTATTCTAGTCAAACGAATTGCACGTCTGAAAGGACCGAAAACAGCGACTTTTCGAGAGGTTTTAACCCTTTAAGAGCCACAGGAAATTTTCAAAATTCTGCATTTTTTCGTGTTCCTTGGATCATAGCTTCAGTTCTACTCACTCAATCCTCACAATCTAGGGCTTCCTGGAAAGGTCTCCGCGAGAGGAAGAGAAAGAGGTCGATCATGATAGCCAGCACACCGTCTATCCAGCGTTAGATCGCAGCGACAGTACGAAAAATGCCCCAAATGCGTCCAATTGCGTCCCGCTCCAGATATTTCATTTTACTCGATCGTGGATTTCCAATTTTTCGCTGTGTACTCTTGACAATATCAACAGTGAAATCCGTGCAAATTCGAGTAAACCAGCGTGACGAAAACTCTCAAAATTCTCAATACTAAAGTCGCACTGCGCGCTTTTGAAATTGCCGCAATCGCGGCTCAAATTACGAGTGATTTATCTCAGGAACCGTTGCTCGCAGCGCTTCGCGGATTGTTTCTCCCGACAGGTGAGAGTTTTCTCTTCGCCCTGGATATTTCGATCACTGGATTTGAGCGAGATTGAACTGAGTTATGATCTTTTGAAGTTTTGCATTTGAATGCGTCGTTTACGACGCATTCAAGTATGGGGCGGCTCTTAAAGGGTTAAGACCATAGGGTATTATATGTGCGAGATTACGGTAGTTGGACTGAATTGTTGGCAATCATGGCTTCCTTGTAACTTCTGTTGTAATGATTATTGTCTTTCACAGCATTTTGCGAAGTGGCATGTGGCGATGCGTCCTGTGGCCTGGATGCGATCGGTAACTGGACATGCTTCTGCAATGATAGCGCTCAAGTGTACAATGCGTCGTTGCGCACCTGCCACTGCGGGACAATGCAGCTTGAGAGCATCGTGGAGGAAACTGAGCGCCTTATATGCATAGTGAGTGTAACGTCTTCTGCTGGTTTGTCGTTGCTGACGGTAGTAGTGGTGCAGGCAGTGGTGGTCCTGGCCATGGCGCCTCTTGTACGGGCAAAAATACCATCTTGATCAATTTAAAATGTAAAGAACTCACAGCAAATGAAAAGAAACCACAGTTAAAGAAAAGAACCCAACCAGCCGCACACGGAGCACACAAGAGGCAACAGCATAAATAAGTAAACTTGCTCGAAAAACATATCAGTGAAATCCATGAATTTAGACCGGAACTTGGGCCTCCGACACAGCCAGTGCAGCAGACGAACCACCAGCCTCCAGAACCACGGGACGTCCGAACAGCTTCCTGCAGCCATGGTGCTGCTGTTGGTGGTGGTGGTGGCGGTGGCAGGGGCGTAACTGGCCCCCCTTTTAGGGAGGAGGGGGTGCATGCAATGTATGTGTAGGATGGACTCAGCCGCTGGTGCATATCATTCATGGCCGTAATGTACGCGCTGAGCCTAGGCCGGAATATTTGGGGGGGGGGGGGGGAGTGCACGTGCCCTATGCGATGTACACGCCTGTGTGATGTTGGTAGTGGTGCTGCTGGTGGCAGTAGCAGCTCCAGATGTGGAAATAGTGGTGAGGATGGTGACCATGGTGATGATTGTTGGGTGTGTGGGTGTGTGTGTGTGGGGGGGGGGGGGGATGGAGTGCAAGTCTGTGACGTTTCTCAGCAGATTGTATAGGTCCGCGTTTGCGTACCCTATCCCCTTCCAGAACATTTCCAAAGCCAAGCTTAGCTGAAGTGGATCTGTATGCCGTTCGCTGCTTCTCACACACATGATTTGTATGCCTGTACTTGCAACTTTATGTCTGCGTGTGCGATTGTGCATGCATGCATGTGTGTGTGTGTGTGTGTGTGCGTGCGTGCGTGCGTGCGTGCGTGCGTGTGTGTGTGTGTGTGTGTGGGTGCATTTCTGTGTGTGTCTTTGTGTGCACTATTGTGTGCACCATTTTCTTTCAGATTAAGCAGAACACGACGTCGGCGACAACACTGATGACGTTCCTGAGCAGCGAGACAGCCAGCAGTGAGGAGATACTCTCGGCGCTGCGGGGTGCATTGTCGGACCCGATCAACTTGGTCAGTTGGTCGTACCATTATCCTTTCCGTATTTCCTCGAATACAAGTCCCATCCTTTCACACTCAACTTCAGGGCCAGCAGAGTGGGTGCAGCTTGCAGTCGAGCATGACTTACTACTGGAGCGAATATATTAAAAACAATATTACATGGTTCACACAGTTATACACCACTACCCAAAAACGGTCTCTGGGCTACAAATTATTCCAGAAATAATTGATTAAAAAAAGGATTTTCTTTAATTCATTCCCCAAGAGACCGTTTTTGGATAGTAGTGTATTAATTGTGTGAAGCATGAAGTGGCTACAGTGGAGCCTGCAAACCCTTAGGAAGGTGTTTGATATGACATGGACCTGAATATGCGGATGTGATCTACAGTCGAGTGCAACTTCAGGCAATCGGGGAAACACAGTATTTCTCAATTGCGCTGAAGTTTGTTAGCAGAACTCTGTGTCCACAGCTCTCTACCTTCTTGTTAGCCCACATGACTTGTGTGTGTGTGTGTGCGTGCATGAGTGCGTGCATGCGTGCGTACATGAGTGCGTGCATGCGTGCATACATGGGTGCGTGCATGAGTGCGTGCGTGCGTGTGTGCGTATGAGGAGATGAAGGATTAGCAAAAACAGCAATTGTCTTGTCACTTCATAAACTGTACGATGGATAGCAGAGTAGTTATTATTATGATATCTTCATCGTCCTTATTTTTGTTATGTCTTGGCACGCACTCACACATCATTCATTCTCCCACTGTACTACAAGTATTGGCGATTCGGACGTGAATTTTCAAGAGTTTCCAGAACAAAGAAAATAGAAACCGACATGCCGTATTTTACCGCTATTAGTCGACCCGGTTGTAAATCGGCCTGGTTACACATGAATGTCGACCCGGTGATATATCGACCCGGTTGTGTGTCGATCCCGAAAACTGTGGGCCTCAATTTTCCGGTTCAGTATCAACATGATCAATAGCGGCTTGTTGTAAGTCACTCCTTTTTTGGTCATAAAAATATCTACTTCTATAACCGGGAAAATACAGAATAGACCTTCGCTAAACGTCACAATCACGTGAACCGGGGTCCCGGGAACCCGGGAGTGGCGAGAGGTCTGCACTCAGTGCACGGTGGACTCTGCGTGCGAACACGAGAGTAGAAAAATACCAGTATTTTCCTACTCCCTTGTACGAACTTGGCCTTTCTTGCCATTCGTTTCATGTACGCGTGCCCTAGCTTACGACAAATCCCTGAAGGCGAGTCCAAAAATCACGTCATCGATTAAGGTCTATATGATCCAATAATTCACAGTGATCCATGCTGACCGCACCAAAGGGGCAGGTGTGGTAATATAACCAACTCTGCTACCCCGGAAAGCAGCAACAGTGGCTCTGTGCGAAGTGCTCCGTACACTGAACGCCGATCATTTCTCACGTGTGTTTTTGGTGTGTGTTTGTGTGTGTGTGTGTGTGTGTGTGTGTGTGTGTGTGTGTGTGTGTGTGTGTGTGTGTGTTTGTTTGTGTGTATCTGTGATTTTGTCCATGGGTGTGTGTACATGTCTTCGTGAACATGTGCTTCTGTTGGAATGCCTGTATGATCCGCTATGTTGGAATGCCTGTATGATCCGCTATGTTGGAATGCCTGTATGAATGCCGGTATGAATGCCTGTATGATCCGCTATGCCAATGCAGACAGCCAGAACTGTAGAACAGGCCATTCAACGGCTGGTGAACTTGAGTTACTTTGACAGCAATTTTACGGCGTGGAACAAGTAAGCTCTTGCGCCACTTCTGCTCTTTCATCGACATGCTGTTTAGGGCCGTGGATTCCTGGTCATTATCCATTTGAGTGCTACTGTGAAGCTGTGTGTAAAAGAAGACCACTGATACGATAACCTTTTGCTTTAGAAGAGCTAGTTTTCATAGCTCTATTGGATAAATCACTGGGTATTCACTGGGTATTCACTGGGTATTCACTGGGTATTCACTGGGTATTCACTGGGTATTCACTGGGTATTCACTGGGTATTCACTGGGTATTCACTGGGTATTCACTGGGTATTACATGTATTCTGGAAAAGAAGAACTCCCGTTTGTGCGAACACAATACAATCTCCCCCTTGGTGTTCGTCCTAAAGAGGTTTGACTGTGTGTGACACCTGTGGGTGTGGGTGCTTGGCGGCTAAATGCTGCTAATCATGTGTGCATGTTGGAATAACCCGTGCTATTCAGGAGCATGCAACATGAAGAAATCCGACAGCATACCTTGCACGTTGTTTTGAAGTCGTCGTATGTCGGTTGTCTCAGAGTGGGACCGAGTGGAAGCAGTGATTGATTGGTCCGGCAATACACTAGCCCTTGTCATACTTTGTGTAGAGTAGTGGGTACCCCTCACACTTGCAGGTCACAGGGGCTTCATGGTATTGAATGTGGAAGACATATTCAGAGAAGAGAGAAGAATGGAAGAAGGAAGACAAGAAGAAGATTAGAGAACCACTGGAGCATGCGCTCTTCTATACGTGATGAGATCTCATTGCTATGGTGAAGGAGCGGGAAATACGAATATTGAGTATTGTACGGTCTTAGTATAAATACACCTATTACACACACGACCTCCTCAGCAGTTAACACACATTGGCGGCCCAACAACGAGGTCCAGTGATCACCTGACCAACTGTACCAGCTCGGGCGGGCCTGCAGAGCATACCATGCTGTCTGTATGTTTGCATGTCATGTGTCTGCCGTGCACCAATGCAGTTTGGGAAATCAGCTGTTGGACTTTGGCACCAACCTTCTGTTTCTGGGCGGCAAAGACGAGGCGGTTATTACTCAGCCTCCGAGTGCCGGTTCTGGACTGTCGTTTGGTCTGTTCACTCTTCACCTGACGGAGCCGCATGACTCGACACTATGCCTGGATTATACAACAGGTAAACTGCTATCCTGTATCCCCTCCGTCCCTCTCACTCTCCCTCTCCCTCTTACTCTCCGTCCCTGTCCCTCTCACTCTCCGTCCCTGTCCCTCTCACTCTCACTCTCCGTCCCTGTCCCTCTCACTCTCCGTCCCTGTCACTCTCACTCTCCGTCCCTGTCCCTGTCACTCTCACTCTCTGTCTCTGTCCCTCTCACTCTCTGTCTCTGTCTCTCTCTCTCTTACTCTATTTCTACCTCTCTCGTTGTCTCTCTCTCTCTCTCTCTCTCTCTCTCTCTCTCTCTCTCTCTCTCTCTCTCTCTCTCTCTCTCTCTCTCTCTCTCTCTCTCTCTCTCTCTCTCTCTCTCTCTCTCTATCTATCTATCTCTCTCCCTCCCCCCCCCCCTCTCTCTCTCTCTCTCTCTCTCTCTCTCTCTCTCTCTCTCTCTCTCTCTCTCTCTCTCTCTCTCTCTCACACACACACACACACACACACACACACACACACACACACACACACACACACACACACACACACACACACACACACACACACACACACACACACACACACACACACACACACACACACACACACACACACACACACACACACACACACACACACACACACACACACACACACACACACACACACACACACACACACACACACACACACACACACACACACACACACACACACACACACACACACACACACACACACACACACACACACACTTGTTGCACACTGCCAAAACTGGTCACACACACACACACACACACACACACACACACACACACACACACACACACACACACACACACACACACACACACACACACACACACACACACACACACACACACACACACACACACACACACACACACACACACACACACACACACACACACACACACACACACACACACACATACACACTCTCTCTCTCTCTCTCTCTCTCTCTCTCTCTCTCTCGGTACAGTACTTTGCCTCATTCTCGCTTTGGACTGGTTTCACATCTTTGTCATGTGACTATACTTGTGTAGAAAGTGATCATGGCATGTGTACAGTGGAACCAACATGGCCGACATCATGTGACCCAGGGATCGATTTACTTTGATTTTTTTGCATAGCAGTCACTGCTACATAGTTTTACAATTGACTAGCAACTCCCAGTATTGATTAGCAGTTTTCCTTCATCGAAAGTTTACATGTATATCTATACAATAGCAGGATTTTGTACAGAAGAGGACAATAGCTGCAGTTGCTATTTGCTTTTCAAAACGAACGGTTGACCTGAATATTTTACGTCAGGGTTTTCGCTTTTTGGATGGCGGTTTGAACTACCGTCAGCTCCTGCTTTTTGGCAGGAGTAGCTGTTCCCTAGGACAATTTGGAGCCACGCATACTGGCAGTGATTAGATAAGAGGTCATAATGAAGCAGTTGAGTCAATATTCCAGAAGCGTCGTCGTACGCCGTCATGTAGAGTTGCGACTTTCAACGTCCGTTCACTAAAATCAAAAATCAAAAAACAAACTCTCGCCGAAGATTTCGAGGCCTACAAGCTCGACATCCTTGGGATTACGGAGACCTGGATAGCCGACAATGGAGTTGATACCCTCGGTGATGGCCACAAGCTGTATAGGTCCGGAGGTCAATCGTCTCGCGCTGGCGTTGCCATCCTCGTCAACAAGAAATTTTCAAATAATGTTCTGTCGTACCAGTTCCACTCTGACCGAGTTGTATCTGTACGAATGGTACTCAGCCCGCGACCTGACAGTCGAGCTGTCACGGTCGTGTGCTGCTATGCCCCAACTCTCCAACGATCCACCATCAACCCTCAGGAAGCTGACAACTTCTACGAACTTCTCAACAATGTTGTATTGAAAACGAAGAACCGTGACGAATTATGGATATTAGGAGATTTGAATGCTAAAGTTGGGAGTTCGAGGCCGGGATCTGTCAGCCCTGTTGGATGCTACTCTAAACACACTATATCAAACTCAAATGGATGCAGACTTGTAGAATTTTGCGAGGACAACCGGCTGGTGCTAACCAACACACTGTTCAAGCACAGGATGCAACATCGCTCAACATGGTTTTCTGATGGTTTAGTGCATGCGGATGGAAAGCCTGTGCGGAATATGATAGATTACGTGATAGTAAAACGTTCCACCATGGCCGCGGTTCTAGATGCAAGATCGTTTGGAGGCTTCACCACGCGCTCTGATCATCACCCTGTTATTGCAGTTCTTGGCATCGCACTTTCTAAAGTCCATCCGACCGTCAAACAACAAGACCCATGTTTCAATCGCTATAACCGTCCAACCGCTGAATCGTCGAAACTGTTCTGCGACCGTCTCAAGGAGAAGTTACCTTCTCTGCTTCCACTCTCCGCAAACATCGACCATGACTCCGTGGATAAGGCGTGGCGTGGATTCGTCTGGGCTACGCATGATGCAGCGCAGGATGCATTCGGGAAAGTGCCCACTGGTTCTGCTCCGAAAGCAAGCACGAACCCTCGTGTTGCATCCTTATCCACTGAACAGAAGAATCTGCACTGCCGCATAAACGCTGAACCTGATCCAGAGCATCGTAAAGCTTTAAAGATTGAAAGATCTGCAAAACTCCACGAGATTCGAAGGATACTACAGAAGGAGGGCGAGCAATATTGGCAACGTAAGGCTGTTGAAGTAGATGCTTTACGTCCTGACCCACGGTCCTACTTCAACGCCATCAACAACTTACGCCAACTACGCTTTGGGAAGAAGGCTGCGCCTGTGCGTCTTGCTGACGCAGACGGCAGAATCATGGCAGACATCTCATGGAATCTTAATGCCTTTAATGAATATTATGAATCGGTATTTTACACTGATGGCCAGCCACTCGACCTCAGGCAGCAATCAAATGAGGAAGATCCATTCACAATCGAAGAAGTACGGTCTGCAATTATCAAGCAGAAGTCTGGTGGTGCTGTCGGTCCTGATGGTATCAGTGCTGATGCTTTGAAGTCAGCTAAAAACCTTTTCGCACCCTGGCTGACGAATTTCTTCAACGCTGTTCAAGCTACAGAGTACTGTCCTGACGACATGCGCTGCGGCCTCATCGTTCCCATCTACAAAGCCGGCAAGCCTCTAGGACATCCAAAAAGCTACCGCCCCGTTATGCTCCTTTCTGTCGTCCGTAAGATCTTGACGTCAATACTCACCCGACGACACACACTCCATGTGCAGTCATATGTGGCAGAGAGCCAAGCTGGTTTCCGCCCTGGCAGATCGACCACGGATGGTGTCTTTTACGCCAGGACGATGTGTGAGCGCGCACTACTTGGCGACTGGTCATATTCATCGGCACTATTGGACTTCAGCGGTGCGTTTGACACTGTCATTCGTCAGGTTGCTCTGGAGAGGTTAGCCACTGCTGGCGCACCAACGTCCACCACTGCAGTCCTAGTATCAAACACAACAGCCCGCACGAAGCTTGGTAAACAACTAAGCAAACCATTTCCAACGAACATCGGCGTCGTCCAGGGTGACCCAATGTCACCAATAATGTTTATAACTTACGCCGAAGGTTCCATGCGTAAGATCCGAGAGCAAGCTCTACCCGCGTCAGACCTACCAGCAACTTTCACACAATACGCAGACGACACCACTGCCCATCAGAACGAGCGATCATCTGTGGAAGAAACCGTCCGTGTGTGTGAACCCGTTTTCTCGGGTGACAATCTGAAGCTGAACGTGGCAAAAACTCAATATTTCACTGTGACCAAGGAAGATGATTCCTGGAAATCGGTGAAGCTGCTGGGGAGTATGCTAGGCACAGCAGAAGACATAGCAGCCAGAGTGTCTGCTGCAAATCGGGCATTTGCAAGCATTCCATGGAAACGCCACAACCTGAATTCCAGGCTGTGTATGTTTTCCTGCCTGATATTGCCTGTCTTACTGTATAACTGTGCGCTTTGGACCTTATCGCAAACATTAACCGACGTCGTCAATGTATGGCACCGGAAGAAACTACGTACCATCATTGGTATCACGTACCCACAACGAATCTCGAACACAGCGCTGTATGCCAGAACCGAGCAGACCCCACTATCCCAAGTCTGCAGGCAACGGAGACTGCTGTGGTTCGGCCATGTAGTGAGGGAAGGCGAAGAATCGTCCTCTTTCCAAGCCCTCCTAATGTCAATCAACACAACAGACATACGACGACCCCGAGGACGACCCCGTCTGAGATGGATCGACGTTGTCAAGAAAGACTTACAATGCATTAATCTGTCGCTTCTGTATGCTGTGCAATCTGCTTCTGATAGAGCTGCTTGGCTCGAAATTGTTAACCGATGCGTTGACCTCATGCAATGAGTGAAATGCGAACTGTCATTATTATTATTATTATTATTATTTGAAACTCGGATGTTGAGCCATAAATAAATGTGGAAGAGAAAAGGACATATGGATACGAGTTAAGAGTAACTCTCCATCACTGTAACATGATACTATATACAGTCAGAAAGTGCAATAACTAGGCACAAAACTGACAGAGTACTGAAACATTCGACGTCCTGACACCTAGCTTCAACACATCTTCGTAGCGCTAACCGACAGCCTTCCAACTTGGAAGGTTCAAGGTTATGGAAAAGACCAAAGAGGGGAAGGCAAGCGCAACGAAAACGAGCAAAAGCTACAGTCCCAACGGAACAAAGAATGTCGATTGTTACTGGACGATGACGAGACCAGTACGATATTTGACAAAGCGGTCTAACTACAATTCGAAGCAGCAAAGCAGCACACCACCCAACTTGGGTGGGTCATAAATATCAAAGATAAGTAAAGAAAGGGAAGCTTTGCGAAAACGAATTGTACAAGCCGAAAGCCAAACTCCTACAGTACTCCTCATGCATGACATTGTGATGGACTAGTTGACTACAAAACAAGTTGTTTCACACGACGTACGTTTCGCCGTATGGTTCGTGACGGCTCATCAGGTGTGCAATTTGAAACTCGGATGTTGAGCCATAAATAAATGTGGAAGAGAAAAGGACATATGGATACGAGTTAAGAGTAACTCTCCATCACTGTAACATGATACTATATACAGTCAGAAAGTGCAATAACTAGGCACAAAACTGACAGAGTACTGAAACATTCGACGTCCTGACACCTAGCTTCAACACATCTTCGTAGCGCTAACCGACAGCCTTCCAACTTGGAAGGTTCAAGGTTATGGAAAAGACCAAAGAGGGGAAGGCAAGCGCAACGAAAACGAGCAAAAGCTACAGTCCCAACGGAACAAAGAATGTCGATTGTTACTGGACGATGACGAGACCAGTACGATATTTGACAAAGCGGTCTAACTACAATTCGAAGCAGCAAAGCAGCACACCACCCAACTTGGGTGGGTCATAAATATCAAAGATAAGTAAAGAAAGGGAAGCTTTGCGAAAACGAATTGTACAAGCCGAAAGCCAAACTCCTACAGTACTCCTCATGCATGACATTGTGATGGACTAGTTGACTACAAAACAAGTTGTTTCACACGACGTACGTTTCGCCGTATGGTTCGTGACGGCTCATCAGGTGTGCAGTCAGTTTTGTGCCTAGTTATTGCACTTTCTGACTGTATATAGTATCATGTTACAGTGATGGAGAGTTACTCTTAACTCGTATCCATATGTCCTTTTCTCTTCCACATTATTATTATTATTATTATTATTATTATTATTTCGCTTGGGCTTATTACAATCATGTTCAGCGTCCATCTGACTTCGAGTTCTTCACAACACAATGTCCTTCAACAGGGCAGTTCCACTGATTCCTTCGACAAATAAAGCGCAGGAAAGCGCTCAAACAATCGTGACACTTCGTTCAAAGCGCACAGAATTTTCGCTTTTCTCCTTTTCTTCATCGAAACGAATCGACACTCCTGGCGCGTCCAGTTCTTTTTCCCGCTTGTGGACAGTGATCAGATTCACTGACATGTTGGCTACACGAGACTAAGAACTATCTACTTCAACTGTGTCTTGTCAAACAGAAACAAACTAAATTGAGCTTGATAGTGAAAGAAGAAAGGAGAACTTCAGCCTTTTCAGGGAAAGTCGCCGCCATGTACTGCAGTCTGCAGTCTTGTACGACCAGTGCAGTGTGGCTAGTGCAGTGTCCAAAATCAAACAGAGCGCGATCCGCGACCCGCGCGCGGACTGAGCAGGACAGGTCAGTTTGGAGTAGTAAAATATTACTCCCAAGTCAGCGGTGGTGTACAGCAGTAGCATGCAAACTGCACACAAAGAGTACAGAATGGTCTTTGTACATACCGGTATGCATGACCAGTGCATTGCAGTTTTGGGCGATAAAAAACAAAAAGTGAATCGCAGCAATTTTGATTCGCAAACTGCGATGCGAACCCAGATAAATCGATCCCTGTGACCTATAGATGCAGGGGATGAGTGGTGTTGGAACCAACATGGCCCACATCATGTGACCTATAGATGCAGGGATAGAGTGGTGTTGGAACCAACATGGCTGTCCTGTATGGTCATGTGATAGCCGTGCGACCACTCTGTACATGTTATTCCGGCTAAAAAGCACGGCTTGCTGTGCCTCTTGGAGCTACATTATAGCGGTTATGTGAAAGAAGTGACCAAGAAGTCACAAACAAAATAATAATAATAAAGACTCATAATGATGAGTTGGCAGAATTCCGGAGCCACTTATGGGCGCTATGTATACACAGTGAGTTGCTAATGCATCGCTGTACTGTGACTTTGTCAACGCATCTCAACTGATGGTGTAACCGCATGATCTTCACACTGAAATCTGGCTGTACTCATAGCCGTTCTGTAAACAAATTATTGTGGAGGTTGACCAGTTGAGTTTCACACTCTAATGAGTCCTGTGTATTTTTGACTTGCCCCACTCTGACATTTGCTTACAGACGGAACTGGAATGGTCACGATAAGCCAGGGCAATGGCTTGCCAGGCACCGCCGGCACCATTGCAATCTGCCAGGCGCCCAGCTTGAACATGGCGCGCGCACCTACTGCCTCGTTCCTGTACGAGAGTCGCTTTCCCCGCAACGCGGAGGCACTGCTCTCCACGCAGTGCAACAGCGATGACCTCGTGCCCGCGTTTGTCGGCCATGTTACAGTTGCCGGAGTGGCGTCGATGGCCTTCCGCTCCAATACGGTGTGTTTCAAAAAGATTACAAATCAGCTTTTGGTCTTTAAAAGTATGAGGATAAGAGAAATTCGGACAACAAAGTACGTAGAAGGGCTTGTCAGGGCACCGCAAATTGTTCTGTAGCGGTTTCGGAACAATAATTGGACCAGCAGTTAAGGACTTAGAATTTCGGCCAGGTTTCTGGCCTTTTCCCACGGTTTAGAAGTAGCCCTGGAAGCCAGTAAACTTGTTGGCCACCAATGCGTATGTACTGTATAGACAATGAACACTACTCAATCTGCGGACAGAACATTATAAATTTATAATACAGAAAGCGTGAAAGGCTAGCTTGTGGCCGAACCAGTCACAAACTGCTTCCGCCGGTCCTGAAAAAAGACACTCGCACTTTCCTTGTCTGGAGAGGTTTGAACCGGGCACTGCCTGTATCTCAGATAAGCGCGTAACTAAGATTTGCCCGTACCTAAGGTCAGCTCATTGACCATAGCCTTCTCGATACATACGTATGTACACTGTATATCATGTGCACATTCACATGTCTGAAGGTTTGTGGTTTTTCAATAAAAAAAATATAAAATGTGACGTATATCAAAATTATTTTGACCAGGTAGTATCGACCGTGTCACTCCGCCATAGCCGAGTTCAAGATGGGGATGGGAAATGCACTTCCATGGTCTGGGTTAGAGGAGTCACACAGTCACGTACAGTAGAGTATAAATATCCGGCGTAGCAGAACTCTCTCTCTCTCTCTCTCTCTCTCTCTCTTTCTCTCTCTATCTATCTCTATCTCTCTCTCTCTATCTGTCTATATAGCTCTCTCTCTCTCTCTCTCTCTCTCTCTCTCTCTCTCTCTCTCTCTCTCTCTCTCTCTCTCTCTCTCTATCTATCTATCTATCTATCTCTCTCTCTCTCTCTCTCTCTCTCTATCTATCTATCTATCTATCTCTCTATCTCTATCTCTCTCTCTATCTCTATCTCTCTATCTCTCTCTCTCTCCTCTGAAGTTTCATGCAATGGGTCAATCATCAGGGCAGTATGTTTGACTAGAATGTTAGAGAATTCTTGAACAAATTCTGTTGCATGTTTCCATTATTCACTGTGGACCCAATGTTTCCACCAGCATAACGTTGTATATCTCTTCACTCTTAGTTCTGACTGGGTGGTGGGAGTTGACACTATAATCATTTGTTTCACTTCCATGTGCCGTGTGATTGCAGTTTGGCGTGTCGCGGATCTGTGCCGAGTTCAACTACACGACAAACTGTACGGTAGTACCGTTGGCGTGTTTGCTGTCACATGCATTGTATCTTTCTATATCCCTGGCCACTGCGATGTGTTTGGTGCGGAGGTCTGTAGTTTGTACACGCACTATAGATCATGAATATCATGTAACTAGATAGAGCTGAGAGGGGGAGTGGGGGGGGGGGGGGGAGGGGGCGTTGGAGGGGAAGGGGAGGGGGGGGGGGGGGGGTGAAGGGAGAGATGATGCAAGGCCAGCTGAAATACGCATGAATGAAGTTTGAAGCACAATGTCTCGGTGCGCTTACCTTAGTAGTGCTCTCTATGAATGAAACTTCAGGAAGACTAGAGACTTAAACTAGATGATGCTCTACTCTATTATCTGTAGTGGGTTGTCTATCAGACTGAGGGAGGTGCAAACGGGAAAAGTCCGAAGAAAAAGTTGACTGCCGAAGACTGCAAGACTCTAACCAGGCATCCTGGCTAATGGCCAGCGATACTCTCCCACTGAGCTATGGTGTAGCTATGGTGTAGTGATCCACAGTGAAACCTGTGACTAACAACCACCCCTTGGGGGCCAGAGAAAGTGGTATTTAATGGCAGGTGGTCCTTAGTTAGAGGTTTGCACCGTACAACCATATACGAATGTGAGACCGTCCGTGCCTGGTGAAGTGGTCTGTAGTACCAGGCTGGTCGCTAGTCACGGTGGTCTTTAGTTACAGGTTTTACTGTAGTACCAGGCTGGTCGCTAGTCACAGTGGTCTTTAGTTACAGGTTTTACTGTAGTAC